TTTATGTGGTGCTTTTCATTGATATACCATTACTGTCTGAATATGATTCTCTGTTTTAAGAAAACATATTGCCATATTAGTACATTGTGTAGATGAAAGTCTTTGAAGATTATTTATGTAATAAAGATGATTATTTACAAGGTTTGTGTATCTGTTTAATTTTTATTAAACAGCAGTTTAAGCAACTTTAAAATTCAAAACCACTATTAATTTCATAATGATATGTTTACCCGCAAACTCTTCATTTCACCAAGGACCAATTTTTCTATCTAAGGCCGGGGGGGGGGGGGGAGGGAGGCGGGAAGAGATTCAAACAACATGCAAAAAATGTTATAGCGAATAGCTTTTAAATACATTTGAAAGCTTGAACCATTAACACTTTCTTAAATCAGGAATTTCAGACTACAAAAGCAGAAATTATTGCAAGCTAACCTTTATAGTGTGATTTATATGCATTTTTGCATATTTAAAGCATTCACTAACTATTAAATTATAGCCTTCTCTGCCACAGAGACATAGAGTAAAATGAAGTCAGTCAATAATAATGTTAAATTTTTAGGAATAAAGCCCATACTACCATTTCACATCACACTGCACTTCTTCAATATTTGCATCACTTCATCAATTATTAACATTTTTTAGAACAACATGACATATCTATCTGTTTATATCAGCCCCCCCCCCATTGCTGAATACCCCACAATACTGAATACCCCACAATCTTTAATGTATCTACCATCATAATACTCCTGTGAGGTAGAGAATTACTATTATCCCATTTTACAGATGGGGAATGGAGTCACAAAGAGGCTACAAGACTTACCCATGGCCTCACAGGAGAAAAGCTAAACTATCTGACAACTTTTTAGAGCTATTACCCTTGACTGACCTGGCAGAGCAATACAGTACCACAGTGGAGATCTGCTTGAGAAATGACTCTAGGATTCTTTCACTTCATTTAGGAAAGAGGCTAGAAGGCTTAAAACTAAAAATACATCTTTGGTTACAGAAGTCTGAGACATGTAAGAAAACTTATGAGAAGACCCCTGCTTTACTAAAGGACTGAGCCAAAGCCCATCAAAATCAGTGGAAAGATTCCAACTAATTTCAACAGGTTTTGGATCAGGCCCCAACTGAATAACATAAGAAAGTGTTATCCCTGTTTTCATGTTCTTTTCTCATGGCCATTTAGGGATGGAGAGTCCTTTTGATAAGGCAACAACAACACATACACACACACACTCAAAACCTATTGGGTTCTGGCAGAGAAAAAGACCAGCTATCTCCTTCCCTGGGGTGCATTACTGGAATCACTTCTTTTATTAATTCTTCAGAATTATTTTTCAAAACAATATGTTACATGCCTTCTTTGCCCAAGCAACAAATAACTGTGCCTGCATTTAATTGCAGGCAAAAGTGATGACATTTCTAATTAATTAATAAGTGTAATAAATAGCTAGATGTCTAAATGTTATCATTTGTATCCACAAAGTTCAGGAGACAAATCTTTCAGCCTATGTAATAAACTATAATTTTAAAAGATAATACGAACCTCTGTTCAAATCCTAAACTCATATCTCAGCCTTTAAAAAAAAGGCTCAACTGACTTTAGTGAGCGTCTGCTGAGTAAAAACAGGTTAAATATTTCAGGATTTGGACCTTTGTTGTTAATCACAATAAACCAAAAACACAATACAATGATTGTGGCAGCTAAGACTCACAGTGCATTTTCTTAACCTTGAATTATGGGTTAAAGACCCGAGACAATATTTAGCACTTACCTTGATGTCATACAACCTGAAAACTACACTACAATCCATAAAATGAGAAGTGAGAAGAAGTGCTTTATCAAATGGATGGTTAAAAATGGAATTTATACAGCATGTAGACTTACTCTTAGATCAGTTTAATAAACTTCTAGCAACATCACTGGCTAGCCCATATGATCTAAAAGATCTGTTGAAATAATATTCGAAGAAAAACCTTTGGCAGGAGAGTGTATCATACAGAAAACCAGTTAGTTTTATAATGTATACACAGCCTGGCTGCCTTGCTGACTATTGGAAATATATTTGTGCTACATGCATATTATGCCAATATAATACAATTAGCACAAGTCTAAATGGAAAAAGAGAACGAAAAGTAGGTTGATATGTTGTATACTGTTATAATGTATAACTTCAAACAGCTCTCCCCCTTCCTTTGTGTGTTCACAGTTACTCCACAATACTTTAAAATGGCTGCAAAATTGATATTATTTCATACCATATCCTTTTATTCAGCATAATACGTGCACACAGTCTATACTTGTGAAAAAAGACTATATCCCATCCAATATACAGTAAATATAAATACTATGCTCATTAACATATGTAATTATTTATGTCCTTCCAAAATTTTAGTTAATTAGTTCCTCAACTGAGTTTTGTTGACTAACCTGCATGTAACATGGTTAAAAACAAAATATAGTCATAACCAACCAAACATGCCATGGGCCAAATTCTACTCAGTTATACCAGTGTAAATTCAGAGTAACTCCATAGAATCATAGAACTGGAAGGGACCTCGAGAGGTCATCTAGTCTAGTCCACTGCACTCAAGAAAGGACTAAGTAATATCTAGACCATTCCTGGCAGGTGTTTGTCCAACCTGCTCTAAAAATACCCAATGATGGAGATTCCATCACCTGCCTAGGCAATTTATTCCAGTGCTGAACCACTCTGACAGTTAGGAAGTTTTTCCTAAAGTCCAACCTAAACCGCCCTTGCTGCAAGTTAAGCTCATTGCTTCTACTTCTTTCCTCAGAGGTTAAGAAGAACAATTTTTCTCCCTCCTCCTTGTAACAACCTTTTATTCACTTGAAAACTGTTATCATGTCCTGTCTCAGTCTTCTCTTCTCCAGACTAAATAAACCCAATTTTTTCAGTCTTCCTTCATAGGTCATGTTTTCTAGACTTTTAATTGTTTTTGTTGTTCTTCTCTGGACTTTCTCCAATTTGTCCACATTCTTCCTGAAATGTGGAGCCCAGAACTGGACACAATACTCCAGTTGAGGCCTAATCAGCGCAGAGTAGAGCAGAAGAATTACTTCTCATATCTTGCTTACAATACTCATGCTAATACATCCCAGAATGATGTTTGCTTTTTTTGCAACAGCGTTACACTGTTGACTCATATTTAGCTTGTGGTCCACTATGACCCCCATTATCTAAATCCCTGATGAAGATATTGAACAGAACCGGACCCAGAACTGACCCCTGTGGGACCCCACTTGTTATGCCCTTTCAGCATGCCTGTGAACCACTGATAACCACTCTCTGGGAACGATTTTCCAGCCAGTTATGCACCCACCTTATAGTAGCTCCATCTAGGTTGTATTTTCCTAGTTTGTTTATGAGAAGGTCATGCAAGACAGTATCAAAAGCCTTACTACGTCAAGATGTACCACAACTACCATTTCCCCCCTAGCCACAAGACTGGTTACCCTGTCAAAGAAAGCTATCAGGTTGGTTTGACACAATTTGTTCTTGACACGATTTGTCCATTTAAGTTACGTCTTGGTGTGACTTAGGTCCAGATTTTTAGAGGTATTAAGGTGGTTCATTTTCAAAAATCTCATTTTCAAAAGTGATTTAGGCACTTAGTAGCCTAAATGTCATTGATTGTGGGATTTACACATCTAAATGCCTAAATCCCTTTTGAAAATGAGACGTAAGCACTCAGATGCTGAGCAAAGAAACATCTATATACACCTTTAAAATCTGGGCCTTAGTCCCTAAGAATTATCATTATGACTCCACCTTAATTAGTGAAAAAGACAACTAAATTTTGTAATGAACTTTTCTGTTACAATTTATATAATAGAAGTGTATTTTCACCTGCTAAAATAGACAAGGACTTGATCTAAAGTCCAACTTCTGAACATTCTTGAATTTGCAGATGTCTCAATGCAGGTCTAAAATTCCCAGATAGCCTCTCTGTAACGGACCAAGTCTAAACCCCAGATTCTAAGGAAGTTTGGATCCAAATCCGGACCTGAACTTTGGGGCTGGGACTTTCATAAATTATTCTGTCCCCAACCTCTTCAGGATAAAATGATCAAAAAGATTTCCAGTGTAAGCAAAATATAACTTCATAAGTGAAAATTATTCAAAGCTTTAGCATTTTTGTATTAATACAACAGTCCAAGTTATGGAAGATGTAATTTTTCTTTGTGGCCTGAAACATGCATCACTGATCATTTTTAGTGTCCTGGAACAAGTAGATTGGTAACAAATTTTCATGACAGAAACACACACTCAATGAGATTATAAATTAGCTTCCTCAGAGAAGTCTCACTAATAAGATTAGATCTAAAATTTAGGTCATTTAATTTTAAGACTCAGCTAATGGGCTAAAAAATGGATATCACTTCATAACATAAATTCAGATTCAATCTTTTCCTACCATAAACATTAGCACCATTATAAAGTTACGACGATTAAGTTTGTTGTAAAATGATATGATCCAACTGTAAAATTCATTTGATTGCTTATTGTACAGGCTCTAGTGCTAAAAAAAGAAAAGATTCCATATCACATTACAAAGTTATAAAGTTTAAGCAATTAATTTTTTAGTATAGTATAAGCCTATTCTCAATGAAAAAAGATAAATTTTAAAATCTCTTCTTTTCAAATTTGTAATACACTGATTTTATCTCCAAACATACTTGCTTTGTTTGTTTTCAATCATATTAACTATTAAAACCATTTTAACAAAACAGTCCTCACCCTTTCTTCTTTAATGTTCATTACTTAAATATAATAATAATAATAATAGAATGTGGATGTCCTTTGAATACCTGACAATTGTATGAGAAAATTGATAGGCTGGTAGGTCAGAAACAGGGCACTTGGCTTGTCTTGTAGCAAAATAATATATTATGAACTCATATTCTTAACATGTTTTAAGTACTAGAAAAAGTTGTGATGAAAGAATATGCCAATAAATTTTGCACTTACTCGGTAAGGGAATGTTTTTAATGCATTTTGCCATCTGCTCTGTCTGCTCATTTTTTGCCAGTGTCTGCACCTCACCATTTCCATTGTCTACCATGGTCACTGGTTGATTGCTCATTGATGTCTTTTTCAAGGTTTTCATACTCCTTTGTACTTCTGCCAGTAGCGCTGCTTGTATCACCTCAATAATCTGTCATGGATGTAGATTATTAGTAGAAGATATTTGTATTTTTAATTATTTACATGGTTTTTTCAAATGCTGATATTAGAAACACAATTTAAGACAGCTTTAATAGTTGTCATTCGAAAGTCAACATTTGCCAATAGTTGCCACCTAGTGATAAATGAGATACCACCTCTTTCCTTCCCATACCTAGATTAAGAAATAACAGTTAACTGGATAGTAGCTGGGTGGTATCTGTTGTCAATGATGACTATCGTACAGCACGAGTTTTTAATTTTCACTAGCTTTATGTAAGGGGACTGTTTCCCCCTTACTAACATTCAGTGGGGGTGTTTTAGTTGCTCGCTCCCAGTACTAAAAAGGGGGAAGGGTCGATGGGGAAACAGGTCCCTGAGACTGACAGCCCCCGGGAACAATGGGGAGAGGCCAATGCTCCAGGTCAGCCTGAATGACAGGGTAGGCAGGCTAATCAGAGAGTCAGGAGGCCAGGGAGGTCCCGTCCTCCATGTGAACTGGATTTGCCTGGGTCAGACAGAGTGGGGCCGAGCTAAGGAGAAAGCAGGGGTCCAAGCTAAGCTGGGGAGCAGAGCTGTGCCAGATCCAGAGGGACCAGAAAAGCAGCCCAGAGAGAGCAGACCCTGTCCGGGGAGCAGAGCTGCAGCCCCATAGCTAGAGGCACAGCCCAGAGAGAGCAGACTTGCCCTGGGAGCAGAGCTGCAGCAACCAGAGCCAGAGGGGCCAGAAAAGCAGCCCAGGAAGCAGAGTCACAGAAGCAGCCTGCAGAGTAGACCTGTCCTGGGAGCAGAGCTGGAGCAACCAGAGCCAAAGGGGCCAAAGAAGCAGCCCAGGGAGCTGGAGGCAGAGCAGCAGCAGCAGTGCTGAGACAGAGTGGTGGAGCTGGGGCTGGAGCGGTCTGGAGCTGGGTGCGGTGAGCAGCTGGGGAGAGCGCGGGGACCCTGGGCAGCGGGCCCAGCACAGGGAGACGCCTCAGCCAAGGGGCTCTGCAGGCCAGGCTTGGATCATAACCCCAACAGGGCGAGGGCGACACTGGGAAGAAGGGTCCTACCACTTAGAGCCTGAGAGCGTGTGGCCACCACCAGAGCAAGTGTCCAACCCACAGCATCCCTGCAGCACAGCCAGGACCTGAGAAGAAGGCCTGGGACTTACAAGGAACAGACTGTGAACTGCCCTGACGTTCCAGAGACACTGTTTGTGATGTTCCCTGCCACAGAGTGGGGTGATGTGTTCCTTTAACCTTTCCCATTTTTCCTTATTCTTTTTAAAATTAATTGTTGATTAAATAACTTGCATTTGCTTTAAATTGTATGTAACGGTCATTGGGTCAGAGAAGTGCCCAGTGCAGAGAGAGTACCCCGGAGTGGGGACACCCTAGCCCCTGTCCTAGGTGACCACAGCAGGGTTGGGGGTTGAGCCCCCCAGGAATCCTGGGCCCAGCCTTGTTGGCGTTACGCGGACTCTGCCAGACAGGAGAGTAGAAGAGGAGTCCTCAAGGGCAGGGAGGCCACTGGTAAAGGAAGTGGGAGCGAGGACTCAGATCCTTTTGCTAGCCCACTTCACTGGGATAGTGCAGAAGCCAGTAAGGTTCCCCACAATAGCGGGACTATTCCCCCGCTTATATTTACTATAAACTAAAAGCTCCAGTAAATTAGTAAACTAGAGATTGTGGGTCAGATTTTTAGCTCGCGTAAATCGGCATAGCTTCATTGACTTCAATAAAACTTGCCAAATTTACACCAGCTGGGGATCTGACTCGGTATGATTAGTATGAAAATTCTCCAATTTGTTACATGCTGTGGGCAGCAATGAGTAATGACTGCATAAGGACTTCATGATTTGGCTCTGCCTTCTTAGAATTCCAGTTGTTTAATGCAACTTGGATTAATGTTTTGCTATTAGCACTGGTATCATATGCCTGCAGCTGCACCTCAGCCAGGCTGGTGCTATATTCTTTTTCAAAAGGAAGGAGAAGAAAGCACTCCACAGAACTCCCGTTACGCTAAGGGAAAGGTTACATATCTGCTGGAATTACGATTGGCCTACAACGTGAGTTCAGCAGTATGTTCTGGCAGTTGATTATTTCTGCCCTTGCTTGGTGGTGTCACTGCATTTCAATATGAATTAAACACAGAAAATCTATTTTGAATTAATAAGGCTGAATTTTTTGAATTAAATCTATTACAGCATGGGAATTCTGCTAAAGCTTTTGTAGTACTCCTTCAGCCTTGTGCCTAGGTACCACAGAATGGTTTAAAAATACACCCAATGCTCTGAGACTCACTGGCTGGAAAGCATAGATGTTTCAACATCAAGGTATAAATTGGCTGAGATTCAACACACAACAGTTAATTGCTTTTGTGTGTTTAAGGCTTGACATGTTTTCACATATTTTAATGTGTTAAATTTCCACATGATTTTGGATGACACCTTAAACCCCACACCCTATCTTCTCTACTGGGAGATTAAAAATCTCATAGCTCTTTTAATGAGAAGAGGGCTTTTCTCAGGCGTTGTTTTTTAAAATGTCTCTTTCTTCAACTGTAGTACACGAACCTTTGTATTGGTTGACTGCTGCCCTGCATCCTATAGGTGGCTGCATGTCAGTGTTGCATGGTATACATGTAAAGACAGATCCTTGGGTCTGGCTGTGCTGTGCTCAGTGCAAGACATGATAGGAAGGAAGCAAAGGAGGCATTACATCACCGTTGCAATTCCCCAAATCTGGAGATAGCAAGGGGCCAGGTCCCCTCCGATGCAGTATGGAGCAGCCTTAGAACTACTCTAACCATTCTTCTGGCCACAGGTTGCCAAATCTCAAGGCACTCTTTCCATTCACTCAACAAACCTACTATATTACGCATGGGGGCCAGGAACATATGATGTGGAGCTGGCTATGCCAGCTTTAATCATTTGGGAATTCTTCTATCCAAAGGGAATCCCCAGTCAGCTGTTAGTCAGCTTTCCATCCTCTTTGCTTTATAGAAGCAGCACAAAGGGGGACAGGATCTGGCCCATCCAGTTTGTAAAATATCTTTGGGATCATTCATAATGAATGATACAATGAAAATATTTGTTAAACCCTTGCAGTCTCTTTACTCAGTCCACAGGTAGGATTTGTGCTCTCTCTCTCTCTCTCCCCACATTACTGGAACTTTAAAATTCCATATCATCTACAGAACGGAATGTCTTTTTTGTTTTGTTTTGTTTTTCAATTTACAGGAATTAAGTATTACACAAAGTCATTCATTCTTCAGGGCAGGAAATTGCCTGCAGAGCAACAAGGATGTTAAGGCTTCAGGACTGTAGAGCTGAGAGACATTCGTGTATACACACACCTCTTTAGAGGAGGCCAGCTATGAATTTAGCCTAGTGCTAGGTAAGAGCTAGGTCACTCGAGACTGATTGGAACAGATGCAGAGTCAGCACATCACCTACAGTCTAGCCCTGCTTGCTCCCAGGCTGCCCTTGCTCACCTTTTTGACTGCACTAAATCCATACTCTGGACAGATGTACTTCTATCAGGAGCCCACAGTGTAGGAGTGAACTGAGTAAACTCAAAGGAGCGAATCTAGCTCTTTTGTGTTTTGTCAAAACACAAACACTCCAACTATTTATTAAAAAGTGTTGGTTTTTTTGCAGGAACTTTCCTTATGTTGTAGAGAAACAACAACAAAAATGGAGATTTGGATTAGACATGAACCAAAATGAAAGCCACAGATCTAAACAATGCTGAACTTTGGGCATTTCGGATCCAGACCGTGCAGCTGGATCCTGAAATAAATCCAGACTCTTTAAGCCCTGGTCTACACTAGGACTTTAGGTCGAATTTAGCAGCGTTAAATCGATTTAAACCTGCACCCGTCCACACAATGAAGCCCTTTATTTCGACTTAAAGGGCTCTTAAAATCGATTTCCTTACTCCACCCCTGACAAGTGGATTAGCGCTTAAATCGACTTTGCCGGCTCGAATTTGGGGTACTGTGGACACAATTAGATGGTATTGGCCTCCGGGAGCTATCCCAGAGTGCTCCATTCTGACCGCTCTGGACAGCGCTCTCAACTCAGATGCACTGGCCAGGTAGACAGGAAAAGAACCGCGAACTTTTGAATCTCATTTCCTGTTTGGCCAGCGTGGCAAGCTGCAGGTGACCATGCAGAGCTCATCAGCACAGGTGACCATGATGGAGTCCCAGAATCGCAAAAGAGCTCCAGCATGGACCGAACGGGAGGTACGGGATCTGATCGCTGTTTGGGGAGAGGAATCCGTGCTATCAGAACTCCGTTCCAGTTTTCGAAATGCCAAAACCTTTCTGAAAATCTCCCAGGGCATGAAGGACAGAGGCCATAACAGGGACCCGAAGCAGTGCCGCGTGAAACTGAAGGAGCTGAGGCAAGCCTACCAGAAAACCAGAGAGGCGAACAGCCGCTCCGGGTCAGAGCCCCAAACATGCCGCTTCTATGATGAGCTGCATGCCATTTTAGGGGGTTCAGCCACCACTACCCCAGCCGTGTTGTTTGACTCCTTCAATGGAGATGGAGGCAATACGGAAGTAGGTTTTGGGGACGAAGAAGATGATGATGAGGAGGAGGTTGTAGATAGCTCACAGCAAGCAAGTGGAGAAACCAGTTTTCCCGACAGCCAGGAACTGTTTCTCACCCTAGACCTGGAGCCAGTACCCCCCGAACCCACCCAAGGCTGCCTCCTGGAACCAGCAGGCAGAGAAGGGACCTCTGGTGAGTGTACCTTTTAAAATACTATACATGGTTTAAAAGCAAGCATGTGAAAGGATTACTTTGCCCTGGCATTTGCGGTTCTCCTAGATGTAGTCCTAAAGCCTTTGCAAAAGGTTTCTGGGGAGGGCAGCCTTATTGCGTCCTTCATGGTAGGACACTTTACCACTCCAGGCCAGTAACACGTACTCGGGAATCACTGTAGAACAAAGCATTGCAGTGTATGTTTGCTGGCATTCAACCAAAATCCGTTCTTT